GAAGGATAACTGTCTATCCGCCTGGATAGGCAGGGAAGCCTGGCGGAAGCTTGTTTCTGACCTCCAGGTCCGTTAAGGGACTGTTGAGAAAATTAATAATAATATATATTCAAATTTTAAATAAAAAGTAATGGAGAGATAATATTAATATTAGAAGATATGAAAAAATTTTGTATTGGATAAAAATAGAAAGCTGAGTTTCAGAAAAAGTGCAGATACCAGTTTTTATCAGAGCATCCTAGACCAAGCTTTGCATGTTTCATCTTACTAAGTACTTTTGGACTGACTATGGAAAAATTAGTCACACAATGGCACATGGCACTGAATCTATGCCATGAATAGATTTTTTAAAATATATTGAACTTCATATTTTTTTTTTAATTTTACTTTTTTAATTTAATTTTAATTTTTAATTTTTTTTAAAAAACAAAGGCGCTCTAATTTTTATAAAAATGGTCCTCCTTTTAATGCCTCACAATACCTCTCATTAAACTCTCAAATAATAAAATTTCCATTATAAGTAAATGATTTCATATTTACATTTTTTTATATTTGTATTTAACTATGAGAATAAATTTATTACTGTTCATTTTTCTTATAATGTTTCTTTTTTGCTACTTACATATTTTTTTATTATAATGTAAATACTGACTGTTTTTAAAATAAATAGGTCTTTCGGGTCACATTTTTTCAATTTTATTAGTAGATATTTGTTATTCTCAACCCTGTCTGAGGAAAAAGTTTAATTTTAATATCAATCTATCTATCAATGACTGTATAAAACGAAAGACGACTCTAGCTAGTTGATAATAATTGACATAGCAATAATGTCTAAATCAACATTTCCATTTGGGACTCTAAATATAGAAAATCTGTCTTCCTGTAACTTTTATAGCCAAAATCACAAATATGGTGCACTTATGTACCTAGTTCTGCCATTAATACCGTTACAAAAGTTGAACTTAGTTTACATCCTTGGATATTATTTAGATAATCCTTACCTCTATCAGGTTCTTTTCTTTACATGTCAGGATAATAATCCCAATTTGTTTGTATTTTTCTTTCGCTCAATTAACATGGGGTGGGGTGATAAAGAAAACCGAATAGCTGTGATCACCTTATACAAAGTTGGAAAAGGTAGGGCAGACATTTTCAACACTTTGAAACCTTTGGGTATCAGCTGTATGTTTGTGTACCACACTATAAATAGGTATAATGAGACCCTATTGGTATATGACAGACTTCGACTGGGCCATCCCCGCACTGTGAGAATGACAAATTCAGTGAGAGCAGTGGCAGTTCGAATCAGAAGAGATCCCATTCGAAAACAACAAATCATGTATCGGGAAATAGGAATCTCTGTCAGATCAATGTCTATAATAAAACGTGATCTTAGTATGGGTGAATTTCGAAGAATGACAGGACAAACTACAACTTACCTAAAAAAATTTGAGAGGATCGATGCAAAATGCTCCTTCCCCGTTACACCAATGTTCTTCATCAAAAGATTTTGATTAGCTATAAGAAATTGTTTACAATTGAAGAAAAATTTAATCATCAAAATGATCGTGTGTACACAGCTCTAAAGAAATCAATGGAAAGAGGTCATCACCCTTCATCAGCGATGGGTTAATGGAGAGATTGCATTGATGGCACCACAAAGCTCCATTTTTATGAAAAAGGAGTTAAACAGCTGTTAAAAACTATCAGGACAATATTTTGGAACCTGTTATCAAGCCTCTAAATCATACTCTATTTGCTAGAAGTCATTGGGTTTTCCAGCAGGATTCCGCTCCAGCTCACAAGGCCAGGTCAACTCAGCAGTGGCTGGAAAAAAACATTGCAGAGTTCATCTCTGCCTCGGATTGCCCCTCAAGAAGCTCTGATCTCAACCCACTCTAGATAATCTATTATCGGCTTCGGTCCGAACTGGAGAGGATGCTATGCCACAGAGCACACCCTAATATAGAAAGCCTCAAACAGTCTATGGTCCGAGCAGTTGAGCGTTTTCTTCAAGAAGTGCTGCGTTCTGTTGCGTGCTGCTATTGATGAATGGCCACAATGCCTGTGTCAAGGCAAAAGGGGGACATTTTGAGTAATTTCTGTTCTATTTTACTCTTTATAGATATATACATTTTATTTTCTAATAAAGTTTTTGAAAAAATTAAGTTTCTGTTGAAATATGTATATATTTTCTTGTAACAATATTTATGACAGGGTTAGTTTTGCTTTACAAGTAAACCAAAAATAAATTTTTTTGACTTACCTGAAATTATTCCATCCATTTGTTCTAATGCTGCCTCAAGAAGTCTACTAGCGTCAGGCTGAGGGCTGCTAAAAAGAGGAACATCTTCTTGAACCTTTCCAGTTATAACCTGAAATACAACAATCAAACAAAAAATACTAACATACAGCAAATATAGTTCACTGGAACATTTAAAATGGAATAAAACCTAAATTTCAATTAAATATATAGCTAAGCCATGTCTAAGAAAAATAAAAATTGCTTCTAAAAAATAAAACAAAGGAAATCCATTATTTTGTTGGAAAATTAACACTTCTTCTTCTAAAAAAGTTATAAAGAAATTCTAACAAATTTTAACAATTTTTGATAAGTAACAGCATTCATTTTTACACACACATACATATATACATATATATATATATATATATATATATATATATATATATATATATATATATATATGATGAAAATTTTCGAATCTGAGTTTTTAACAGAAATATATGTTTTGAGATCCCTTGAATCCAAATAACTAAGTACCGCAAAATGGTATGAAACTAATATTATGTATTTAAGATAGGTATATGCCTGGGAAGATACAGCAACATTTTCCTGATAATCGGCTAACCGGAAGTGCCACTTCATATCATTGATTTTCCGCGTTTTTACAATTTTGTCGAAAATGGCTCTTATTATTTTGATTAATTCAGTGAATTAATGGATTATTAAATGGTCTTTAAAACCATAGAGGGCCGGGGTGTAAGCTAAGACGCTTGCAATAGATAATCAAAGTTAAGTAATGTCGGGCGTGGCTAGTACTTGGATGGGTGACCTCCACCAAAGAAAGCTACTCTGCCCGAGATCCCTCCTCTCCTCTCCTTGAGTATGTGAAACCCATCAGTCTAGTGGAGGGAACTCACGCTGCAGGGAAGTGAGCAAATTCTGTGTCTGACATGGGTCCTGGCCCTCCAGGTTGGGGTTTGGGCATAAGGCTAATAATCCTAATCCGTACAAAAACATCATATTAGAAAACCAAAAATCAGCCTAGAAAAATCTGAATGTCTTAACGTGGTAACGACTCTGGATTTGTATAAAAGACTTAATATAAGATCATGGAATGTTGGGAGCTTATACAGACCAGGAGCCACCCAAACGGTGGTAAATGAAGTAAAAATGTACACCATACCGTTAACAGCCATACAAGAGCTAATGTTCTACACCAGAAGAAATGACAAAAATGGGACAACTGGCACTGGATTTATAATTAGTTCAGCCACTAGGAAGTCAGTAATAAATTTCACCCCAGTTAATGAAAGGATAAGTGTGCTGCGGGAGGTAGCAAGTTTAATATCACAATTATTAGCGTGTATGCACCAACCGAACATAAAGAGGGTGAGGTGAAGGATGATTTTTAAGGTCAGATAGGAAAAGTTGTGGACCAGGCCACAAAATTTGATATACAATTAGTCATGAGAGACTTCAATGCCAATATAGGTTAAGAAACCCAATTTAGGCCCATCATCGTAGGCCAAAGATTCCACGAAACCAGCAGTGATAATGGAGTGAGATGTATAAGTCTGGCAACAGCTAAAGGTCTAGTAGTGAGCAGTACAATGTTCTGCACGAGAAAATATATACGAATTCTGAGCAGATATCAAGAAAGAAAGGGTAGGATATAGGCGAGAAATACACAAATGGAAGATGGCAAATTGACAGCATCAAATGACAAACATAAAACTAAAGAAATTCAAGCATAAGAATTAGGGGTTAAATAGTTCAACTTGTCATATTATAATAGCCCAACTATCATTGAAATCAAGCTAAATTTTATTGCTTATTTAATGAGCATATAAATATTTGCACTACATTTTGAAGAATGATAAGAACAGAAGTTTGAGTATATGACACAAATGACAAATGATTTGTTTAGGAAAAACAAATCACTAATAATGGAATTAAATTAATTCATACATGAAGGACGGTTATATTTAAGTAGGAAAAAAGTAATAGGCTAAAAGACATTAAGAAAACCAAATAGCAGTTTTTTCAGGATTGAGTTTATCAGAATTTGAGTGTATCTTTCGTAATATAAAATTAAATACAAAATATGGCATTACCTATATAAATAGTTTGTATTCAATGATAAGAAATATAGAATAAAATCATTTGTAACCTTACCATGGCAAAAATTAAAAATGTTTCAAAACAAGGACTGTTTAATGACAAAGAAACAAACAAAACTTTTTAAAAAACACGAATTAGAAACTGAAGAACGAAATAAAAAACATGCTACAAATAAACTTTTAAAATCAAATAAAATAAAAATTAACACAAACTAACGTAAATTTAGGACTGTTGACAATCAACAGGTTGGTTTCATTTGTGAGCTATCATGATTATAAAATAAATCAAAATATTTATAACATTCAGTTTAATAAGTTTGATTTGATAATAGCCTGGTTATAAGTTAGACTTTAATATGTCAATTCAAAAATATATTTTGATTTCATATTTCAAAAATCATCGTTATTATCACACATCGTTATTATATATGTTGTTACAGATTAATTTAAATTATAATTACGAATTAATTATAGACTATATTTTTTTTTTAATATTCATAAGTTTCTTTCATCTTTCAACACCAATTAAGAAAAAATACAAGTAGCCGGAGCATTGCTGTGGGGGTTAGTATCTGTTCAATGATAGTGGTGAGGTTTCTTTAGGAATAAACATTGTTTTGAATGTGATTCTGAAGATGGATATTACAGAACAGTTATCTGAGGAAGGATGGTGTGTTAAGTTTTTAGAATATTGATAATAAAATTTGAAACTGTTTTTTGAATAAATATTTCCAATTTCAAGCATGTTTGATAACCTATAAATGTCTAGAGAATTCATTATTTTTATCTGTTGTCTTCACTTGCAGGAAACTATCTCCTGAAGGCTACAATGTTATTACTGAAGATGGAAAAATTACTGATTTAGCAGTGATAAAAAAGAAAGCACTAGATGTAAGTATATTCATTTTAATATAAATAAATGGTGTATTAAGTGTTCAATGATTTAAGTTTTAATATTTTGGTAATTTCGATTCCACAGATTGATTTAAGAGAATTAGGTGGTTGTGCGTTCCCCCCTGAAATGAACAAAGGGAAATATGAATCTGTAAGTTACTTATATTTTAGAATACTATTTGACATTTTATTTTTACTTTTTTACTGTAATATTTTAGTTTTGGGATTAATCCTAAAAAATCAACTGATTATTGTATTGTTTCTACATTTTTAACCTCTCTTTCTATAGAATGTGAAAATTTTGAAAATTATTGCTATTGTAGTTTGTGTTAAATATAGATTTTTCTCTCTTGAAAACAGTGACAGTGTTTCACAGTGAAAACAGTGTGCTATACTTTAATAATTATAAATCTTATTGGTTTTCAAAAACCTAACCAATATTGTCGAAACAAATTCAATGCTAGTTCCGAATCACCATTCTAAGCTGGCAGCATTTTAAGATCACATCCATCACACTGTAGACGAAATCCTTAAAGTTTTCTGATGTTGATTTCTGTTCATTTATAATGGTAGTCTGTTCGATGTCCTGACTTCATATGTAAAACATTGGATACATAGGACATTAAAATATTAATTAAATTTTTAATTCACCAATGGCTCATTTTAATCACTGTTAATACTATCCTTAGAATCATAATGATTGTTAATCTCAATTATTTTGTAAGAGCAAGTGAAAGTTTTGAGAAAAAACTATCAAATATTCATTAAATAAAATCACTAATTAAAAGTAAACCTTTGATAGAACTTCACTATTAACTAATTATTATTGTGAATTTGCATCCTATTTTTTTATGCTAAAACTTATTAATTATATCAGAAATAGTTAAACTGTTTTTCTTCAGGTTTCAATTTCACAATATCTTGATAAAGGAGACATTCATCATATCAGTTGTGATTTCATTGTGTTAAATGTTACTTAATGACTTTTTGCATTAAACCTACTATATAACAGGTGGGGACCTAATCTAACATAAATGTCTGTCATAAGCGAGAACAAAATTTCCTTCCTAAAAGGTGGAAATTTTTAGCAACAGAGTTGGAAATTGATCGTTTCTTTTTACAATTAAACATTATAATGTATCCTATCATTCAGTTTTTCATCTAGAACAGGGGTCCCCAAACTACGTCCCGCTGATTGGATCTAGCACGCAAGTACCTCCAGTACGTCCCATGAAAGTTTCTTTTGTTACATGGTAAAATTTAAAAAATTGTTTAAAAAGTGTGAAATTTACCAAATTACTCACTCAAGAGATTACTTCATTTATTTCATGTTGTTTTTCTCTTATAAAGCTCATTTCACAAATAAAGTGTCATTTATAGGACAAGATTTGTTTTTCTTTTTCACAAGCCGTAACCCGCGGGACTGCTTTTTTAGTAGCGTTTTGCACTTTTTTGTGGAGAGTGAATTAAATTGAGCTGTCAGATTTCCGATTTGTAATGCTCGTTTAAAGTCCGCTGAAGTCGACTAATCGAATTGTTATTTGCATATGGATTAAATTTTCTCAAAAACTAAAAATCGGACCTGCATTACTATATAATATTGTTAATGAGGAAAATTTTCATCATTCCATCCACTTTGTAATGAGCTATTATTCCAAATTATATCCTAACACGAGGCTGTGTTAGAGAGGGGAAAAGGACAAAATAGTGTCAAAAAACAAATGATAGCGAGTTTTATTGAAGATTTATTTTTAATCGTTTCTTTTTACAATTTACAATCCAAAATCTTTTATTTGGATTATAAAAGATTTCAGAAACTAAATCGGACCTGCATACTGTAAGTGAGGGAATTGTTCACCATTCCATCCTCTTTATAATGAGCTATTATTTTTTATTTATATTTCATATTATTAATCTCTCCTTGTTGATGTTTTCACTTCTATCGTGTGAAACCAATTAGTTTTTTTTTTTTGTGTGTTTCATTTTGAAATATCTAAAATTTTATTTGTAAACATTTTTATTTAATAAAATATTCTTAAATACGCTTAATCAATTATTTAAAAAAGAAAATTAAACAATTAAAAAAAAGTAATATTAAAAATTTACAAAATTAAAAAGTAAGTAAAGAAAAATTATTTTTAGGCAGTCAAAAAAGTATTGGCAAACTTTTAGTTATGTACATAATATTTTAAAAATTTAAACTGGATGCCACTAATATTTTGTCATCATAAAGCATCTATGACAGCTGGTAATCTTCTTGGCATTGCCGAAACAAGACTTTGCATTACTTCTTGACCAATTTTATGTCATTCCTCAGACAAAATATCCTTCAGTACATTTTTTGAAGAAATTTTGTTTTTTCTTATTGTCAGATTCAATATATACCATAGGTGTTCTATAGCATTAATATCTGGAGACTGGTGGTGTTTTAAATTGCCTCGGAACATTATACAGCATCCACTCTTTTGTTTTGTTAGCTGTGTTCTTGGGGCCATTATCTCGTTGGAAGATAAAAGTTGCATTTATTCCCAGGTTTTTGGGGCTATTTTTTTAATTATGTCTAAAACTGTCAACTTATTTTTTGGCATTCATAATAACGTCAATAAAGGCCAAGTTTCCTGTACCATTCCACGATATGCAACCCCAAACTTGAACACTTCCACCTCCATGTTTCACTGTGGGCCTCACCTGTCAAGGTTGAAACTCAGTATTAGGTTTTTGCCATAAGTACTTGTGACCATCAGAGCCGAAAATATTAAATTTACTCTCTTCTGAAAAAATAACATTTTTCCAGAATTTTATTTCTATTAACAAATGATTTTCCAAACTTGAGCTGTTTTTTGTGGTTCGTTTCAGTAATAAAAGGTTTTTCCCTTTGAACTCAACCATAATAATTATATTTGTGAGTAACATTCTTACTGTTTGTAAACTGAAGGTGATATTAGAAGTCAAAGCAACGCTTTCCGCTATCCTGGCGGCTGATGTGTTATCTCACTCTACAATCTCGTGTATGTTCATCTATTATCTTTCACTAAATTTTGATGGCTGTCCTGAACAAGATAACAATATTTCGAACAGTATTAAAATTTGTTCATAATTTATTTGCTATTTTTCTGTAACTAAGGCCTTTCGAAAATAACTTAATGATCAAAATTTTTAAAGAAACATGAAGTTCGGTTTTCTTATGCATTTTATAGCAAATATAGAATGAAGACTGAGTTTTATAGTTATCGTAGTATCGTTGTTGATTAACAATGAGGATTCTCATCGTTTATGTAGTGAAAGAAAACAGATTAATTTGTTTTGGCTGGAGTTAATGTTAAACATTTAAAACTTTGCCAATAGTTTTTTTGTCTCTGAAAATTTAATTTTTGTATGATTACTTCAAATTCATCTAAGAATTTTAAATATTAATTGTTTACAAAATCTAGTATTCAAAGATCACTTATAAAATAAATGTTAGCTCTGGAAAATATTTTAATCCTATTGAGATCTATAGAAAACAGGGGAGTGTGCCAATACTTTTTTTGACCCACTGTATATCCAGTAAGATTAGGAAATCCAGTAAGATTACTCCCTCTTAGCCTTACGTGAAGTTCCATTTTTTTATTTAGTAATTAGTTTCTTATATATGATCCCATCAAATGTAATTTCTTTCTGTAAAAACCTGTAGGTAAATTATTGCTGTCAATTAGATGAAACAATGGAGTCAAAATGGTAGGATGAAAAATTACATATAGATTTTATTGGTCTGTTTATGACAAAATTCTAATGGATTGGTTTAAGAAATTTTAAATAATATATAGGTAGGTATAAGCTATTCTATACAGAACAACTTATTTATATTTACAAATATATTATTTTATATATTGCAATATTAAAGTTTATTATTTTCATTAATCAACCAAGAAGAAAAAAAAATAAGAAGGAAAAAATGAAAATATAACTAACTATTATTTTTCCATGAGATATTAATTATAACATACTAAATATAATCAAAATAATAAATGACCGAGAAAAGTCATATTTTTAAAAATACTTTCTGAATAGAGGGGGGAAGGTTTGACTAGTTTTTATGTGTTCTCAATCAGGATTTTGTTTTATTATTTTTATAATCATGCCAAAATTATCCTTTTAGTTGTCCACCCCTCAAATTGCTATTCTTTTTAATCCTGTTGACTCACGAAAGACTTGCCAACCATGATTTTTCTGCTGGAGACCTATCCTATAGCCTGTCTTGAACTCACGAAGAAGGAAATTTCATTGCATTGGAAAAACTTCTTTACTTGAATGTTGACTTGTTTACACCTTAGCATACACTTTAATATATTCAGCGAGTTAATTAATTTTAAAAACTGTTGCATTTTTGGTTGTTTTCCTGTCATAAAAGGTTTGTTACTCTGTTTATGATTTTGATGAAATAAGTAATGATACCATGGATTTTAATACCATTTTCACTAAAATATGCTACCTGAAGAAAAAAAAAAAAAAAAAAAAATGAGAAATAGAGCTTCAAAGTTACGATGAATTTACTGCAGTATGAATATTTTGTTATTTACACTAATAATTTTATTTGTTCATTATCTTGAAGCAGTGAACTTACATTTGCATTCATTGATTACTTAATTTTATCTGTTATTAATAACATTTTCATTATTGAATTTCACAGTTGAAACTTTGTCACACTGCTATTTTTAAACTGATAGCTCTAAAATTCATTTGGGATATAGATAATTTTGTTGTGGATGATTTCTGAGTGAAAACCCCTTTTGTCCAAATTTGTTAGTTAAAACCTTTTTAAACCAAGGCCACATTATGACAAAATGTAATATTACTTAGCAATGAACTGTTAAGATAAAAAAAAATCACTCAATATTTTAACAAATTATTCCTCTGTGAAATCAAAACATTATGCACTTACTGTGTTTTGTATCAATACATGAGGTCAAAATTGACAAAAATGTACTTTTCGTGAAGTAGGTCAAGTAAATTTTCATTATAAAAAAGCAAGTTACATTTGTTTTTAGTGTCCTTTAAGTCTATTCAATACAACTTTTTATAGAAATCTAAAAATACAAAGTTTAGTATTTAATTTTCTTCTTGTATGATACCTGTTCATGAACTAAAGTATTCATGTCTCAGAATTTTTTCCAAAGTCCAGGTTATTATAACTGTTGGAAAGCTAAATTATTGTTTTTCTAACCCATATCAATATCCTGTAGATTATATTCCTTTATAAAGTAGAAATAGAATAAAACCTCTCAAACGTTTTAATTTTATATCTGTAGTTCTTTCTTTCTTTCTTTGGTTCTAATTTGTTCATAGAGTTCGCATTTGTGACAATTCGTGTAGTCTATAGGCCTCTTAACACATTTTTGTTGTTAGATTACTATAGAAATTCATGTTTCCAGATTATTTAAGATGAGAAAACAACCATCAACTTTGTTGCTCGCTAAAAAAAAAAAATATTTATCACCCACATTACTATATTGTTCGACACAATTTGTTTCAGTATTGTGCTCATTCTGGGTACAGCTAAATTGGACCGACTGATATAGCAATGTGGGGAAGGAGAGGGAATATTTTTTTAAGATGAAATATATAGAAATATCTAATGATTTTCGAGATTGATTCACCAAAAAAAATATGATTGAAATCGGTGTCTTACTAAGTTACTTTTTGCTATAAACCAACAATTGTTTACCAAATTCTTATATATTTATTTATCTTGATGCTTAGGTTACTGGTAACATGGTTGTTCAAATACAAAAAATCAGAAATATTTCGGAACCTAAAGCAAATGAGGAATCAAAACATGCTCCTAGAATGTTTAAACTAATTCTAACTGATGGTACTCAGAGTTGTTCTGCATTAGAGATGTCTCCACTTGTTGATATTAAGTAAGTTAATGTTGATATACCAGTTCTATTGTTTAATTTTAAACTATTCACTTAACAGCTCTCTGAATATTGGCAATTTTTATTTATTTTGTTTTTAATTTAAACATTTTAATTGCTGTATCATCAAAATATATAAATGTTTCATTTAACTCCAAAGTTAGTTTAATAACAGAAATTGATATGTATTATCTTTATAGCCCTGGAGCCAGGGCCCAAAAATAGACATTGCAGGTGAAAGTTTGAATGTAAATTATGAAAACATATGTTATTATAAGTAAAATGAACTTTCTCTGCCATTCTGGAGCCGGTGGTTTTAAAAATTGCGGTTGATTCAAAGAATATTACACCAGTATCTTGAGAATTGAAACAGGAAATATATTGCAAAAAATGTGGGAAAAGATTTTATTTTTTTAACTTGTATATATAAGTTCAAACATATAAAAACCAAAATTTCTTTTGGTTAATTAATAAAGGTTTTATTAATAATCCTGAGGAATATCTGTAATTGAGACTAATTCTTATTCTTCATGATAATTGGAGTAATTGAGGAAATAATCAAGTAACAAGATGTTGCGTATTGATAGTTTTGATTGTAATGGTCATTATTAATTTTTTTAACTTTTTGTAAATTTTTATCTCGTAATTAACTTATAATATGTAACAAGATGTATATGTAACAAGATGTTGCGTATTGATAGTTTTGATTGTAATGGTCATTATTAATTTTTTTAACTTTTTGAAAATTTTTATCTCGGAATTAACTTATAAAGAATTGAATTGTATATTAAGTTAGGCCAATCATTAATAAAAACTTGAGCAAAACTGATTGTTTTTCTCTACCTTTATTTGTTATATTATCTGTTAACATCTGGCTGAGCTATTCTGTTTTTTATTCACTCATTAGAACATCTAGTTTTACCAATCTTCAAAGTAATTTATTCATTTTTAGTTTCAACACCCCTCCTGGTACCAAACTGAAGTTGAAGGGAGAAATGGTTATTAGCCACGGTCTTCTGTTACTACATACCGAAAATGTCGAAGTCCTAGGAGGCAGAGTTATTGTCTTAGTTGAGAAATGGCTTACGAACAAGGTGAGTTACTTTTAGTAGTTATGAATATTAATATTTCTGTACTCTAATAAATTTAAGGTTGGAAGATTATTGTTGTTTAAAGTAGGAGTGTATGTATTTTATAATATTGTAGTTTATAAAAATATTTATTTATATTTACCTGTAAACAATATATGTATTTTACTACAGAATCTGGCCAAACAAGCCCGAGGTCGAGTTGGAGCTGAAGGAGGACCTCCACCTTGGATACCGTTTGGTGAGAAGCTTGCTCCTTCTAACATAGCCGATAAAAATTTCAAGGTAAAGCTTTATTTGCATAACTAGGGATAATTGTTACAATTAAAGCTTGATTCTAGCTAAGACATTTATCAATTTTATTTCTTAGTCCTTAGACGATGGATCTAAAGATGGTAGGGATAACGAAGAATTTGAAGCTCAGAGACGTGATGCTATAGCTGAAGCAGGAAAAGCAGCTGGCTGCACAAAAAAAGTTTTTGGTGGTGGTACAAAACCACTTCTTGATAGGAACATCCAAGCAATTATGTCTCAAGGATTCACAATTCAGGAAGCTGAAGCTGCTCTCAAGCAAAGTAAAAATAACATTGACAGGGCCTTGAGGAATCTCCAGGTAAATTTAATTTCTATTTAGATTATTTTATCCACACCATACATTGCTTTTTCAGTTTACAGATGGAAGTATGTATACTGTTCTCCATATCATGGATTACAGATAATCAAAACCCAGTTAAAAAAAAATTCTGAAAATTGACTTGAGTCCTGCTTATCCATCACCCACTCATTTGATGTTTATGGCGTTTCTAATGTTTTCTATATTTGTTTAAGATAAATAATACCTTTATATATATATATACATATATATGTTTATATATCTTTAACCATCATTATTTTATTTATGATAAAAGAGATATTTTCTATGCTATATTTACTATATATTTCTTGACCCAGAAGAGGTTGACAAACCAGCTATGCGTATGTAGAAATAGCTATTGAAAGGCTCAAAACATGAAAGGCCCCAGGGATAGACAACCTACCATAAAAACTGTTTAAAGACGAGAAACTATTAATTACAACTAATCCAAAAAAATAGGTTGTGTAGTCCTATCCATGTATGAGTGTAGTAATTACAGAGGCATAGCACTCCTTCCTGTTGCCTACAAGATAATGAACAATATCCTACTAAACAGGATATATCCGTATTACGAAAATATAATAGGCAACCACCAAGCTAGATTCAGTAAAGAAAGGAGCACTCTAGACTAGGTCTTCATCCTAAAACAAGTGCTCAAAAAACGATGGGAAGTAGCTCAGGGAGTCCGATGATTTATGATTCTGCGGACAGCAGCTGTCTTTGGAAAATCATGACTGAACTGGGAGTTACCGGTAAGTTGGTGAAATTGATAAAGATGTGTACAAATGACCCTAAATGTAGAATCCTAATACAAGGAGAAGTATCTGAAGCCTTCAAAGTTCGAATGGGGTTACGGCAGGGAGGTGGACTATCACAGATGTTGTTCAACTTAGCCCTGGAGAAGGTAATAAGAGCAACATCACAGAAAAATGGAGGAGTCCACTTCGGAATAAATCATAAAATCCTTGGATACACAGATGATGTAGCTGTCCTTGGAAGTAATCAAGAGGACATTGAGAAACTCGCTAAGACTCTGATAAGTGAGGCAAAGCAGATCGGCCTACAAGTAAATGAAGACAAGACAAAATATGTGATAAGTCGAAAATTCCACCCCAATAAAAGGATCTTTGTAGAAGGAAAATCATTCCCGAGAGTAGAAAGTTGGGTAGAAATGCAAATAACTTGGCTGCATTATGGAGTTTATTTATCGTAACTTCAATACCCCAACACAGACAGAGATGGAACCTTAACAGTAGGCTTGTTAAGGCGGCAAAAGATCTACATCATCTTTAATGTCTACAGAAAAAGAAAAAAATGTCTTCTTATTTTTCTTTTTTTTTTTTTTTAATTTCTATGTTTATAATTAAATAAACATAACGAAAACTTATAGTTGTGATTTCTGCAATCATAAACAGCTTAGAAAATATAAAAATAAATTTAACTTGTCATCTTTAGCCTTTCCATTTAAATATTATAGTTTTTTCTAGATATGATTAACTTATCCGTACATATATTATTACCGTAAGGCTCGAAATCGGTTTTGTACCAAATATAAGCTCCTGTCATGCTCAAATACCATGAATGGGGTACCGTTGGATTCAGAATTTCACGGGGGGGTTAGGGAATCGTATTCTCCACTTTTGTTTTCCTTCCTAAAATAAATAAAGTCAATACAAACATTTTGCTAGGCTTCAATACTAGAACCGTGGTAGGTCTGTAGATCGATACGGGACAAATTGGATCTTGAAAATTTTGATGCGTACAGCAAAACCCGGATAGTTCCTCCGGAACTATCGGATCCTGCGTTTTTAACCCAAAAAAGGTACCATTTTTGGGATAACGCAAGGCATAGGGTTCGCATCCACACAATCGTAGTACTGTTGACATTAATTGTAGTACTGTCATGGAATACATGTCTCATTTCGTCAACTTGAGGTCTCTATGATCGAGAGAGTAGGAGTTTATATTATTTATCAATGGTGTTTTTGTTCGCAAGCCATATCATTGTTAATTTTTCACCAAATCTTAAGATTGAGCCAACAATTTCGAAGGCTTCCTTCTCCTTCAGGCTGGCAAAATAGTCCAATCACCCAGAAAATTCAGGCAAACAAGTTATGAAAGAAAATAAACTTTATTTGCGAATAACTGAAAAATTACACACTTTTCTCTTGGTTATGCCAATGATTATATAAAAGATTACTAAATTCCCTACAAAAGGAAAAAAAAATCATCGAAATCGGACAATTTTTAGCAAAGATACAGACAGCTTACTGAAATTTGGAAACATGTTGGTTGGTTTCAAACAAACATGAAGATTTAAATTAATTTTTGTTTGCTTTGTGGATTATATTTATCGATAAAGTAACATTTAATGTCTTAATCCTTTGATACATTGCATTTTTTTATTTTCTTATTAATTTTTCATTTGATAACTATATGCTGTGCTAATTTTTCGCATGGGCCTACTAGTATCTTATATATTTGAAGAACTAGATATTTTAAGATCCTTATTTCCAAATAACCAAGTCCTTGCTAAGTGATCTACATTATGTATCTCATCGTCTTTGTTGTATCTATGACTGTATGCCAACATCCTACCACAGCAATTAACGATGATGTGGCTTACCGACAAAAAACACCTTCGAAACACCATGACAGTACTACAATTAACATAAGATTGTGTGGATGTGAACCCTTTGCCTTTCATTATTTCGAAAATAGTACGTTTTTGGGCTTAAGAATGCAGGGCCTGATAGTTCCGAAGGAACTATCCGGCTCTTGCTGTACGCATCAAAATCTTCAAAGCCCAATTTATCCTGTATCGATCTACAGACACCATCGTTCTAGTATTGAAGCCTAGAAAAATTTATTTATACTTAGAAAGAAAAACAAAAGCGGAGAGTACGATTTTGTAACCCCCCATAAAATTTTGTATCCAACGGTACCCCATTCATGGTATTTGAGTATGACAGGAGCTTATATTTTGTACAAAACTGATTTCGAGCCTTACTGTAATGATATATGTAGGGATAGGTTATATCCTCATTGAAATAGTCAAACTGTCCTTTAATACCAAATTTTCAACATTTTTTTCTCTAAAATACCATTAATTTTGATTGTTTGAAATAATTAACCATGTATTATTTTTAATATAAATAGATAATGGATTAATTTAAATTATGAAAGAATTTAATTATTAAGTAGAAAGGAAAAAAAAAATCTGTACCACTACAACCCATGTCTATGGTTCAGTACTATTTATGGAAAGAGCTGTTTCTTGGTCAGCAGTTGTGCATGGAGGTACTTTCACCGAAATCATGCTCAACCACCAGGTTTTTCTCCTTTAATTAATTTAATGAAGGGTACTCACTTTATAGAGGCTTGGTGTGCCACAGAGGGTAGAGGAAAAAAAAGAAAGAAGAAAAAAAAAGGAAACATATTTTTTTCCGTTTAAAAACAAATTTCTGGATACAAGAGTAGTTATGTATTTTATACCATTGTAAAGCTAAAGATTCTTGACAAGAATGACAAAAAACAAATGAAAAATTATTGTTAATAATTTCTTCTTTTATATTATTAAATAGAAAATAAATGTTCCCATTGAAACTAAAAGAAATTTGGAAAATAAATAGAAAACTTTAAAATTAATTTTCAGCTTGAAAAAAAGAAAAAAAAATTTAGTGCAGAGTATCATACTTTGTATTAATTGTCTTAAAGTTTTACTTAATTTACTTTTTTATTGATTAACTAATACTGTTGTAAATTTCAATAAATATATTTCTAACTGAAATTAGGGTAATAAATGAAAGTTGTGAAATAACCACACCTGATTTTTTTCAAAATAAGATTCTTATTTTATATTTTTAGAGAAAAAGTGGTAAAGGTCCAGATGACAAAGAAAAGACTGAAAAAGAACCTGGTCGTGAGCGAGGTAGACGTAAAGGTAATGATGAAGAAAGTGGACCCAAACCAAGTGGAAGAGTCTCACTTTTCTCATTTCTCGAAGACAAGTTGCCATCATTACCAGGTATTGATTTTTCCTAATCATAAATTCATTCATTTTTTTTTTTTTTGTTCTTTTAAACACTATTAATTTTATTTTATTCTCAGAAAAAGATAAGAGCAAAGAAAAAGAATGGGAAGCTCCAAAACAAAATTATGAAACAAATAATAAATCTAAAAGTTATCCTGGTCAAGAAAAAAATAGGAACCGAGGAGATAGGGGGCCACAAAATAATTTTATTATTGGAAATGGTATAGATAAGAAAAAAGATGAAAGGCAGTCGAGGTGGCAGAATCAAACACAGAGTGAGCTCATATTTGTTACATCTTTCAATGTTTATTCAATATACAAAATGTGATATATTAATATCTATATCAATAATACAAATTGTGCTTTATAGAACAGAATGCCACTCAACAGAAATTCCTTTATCAATGTCCACCACCTCCAAGTGTTTTACTAATGTACTGGTACATAATTAAATAGAATGCATTCAAACGCCTCTGAATGAAATAGAATCATAATTTTTAATATTGGTTTCCTATTACATTTCAATAATTTATTATAGAAAATTCCATGTTAAGGTGCTAACTTTAATAGCATCTATCAAAGCAAGTATACCCAAAGATACACACATAGCATTATACATTCATCATGGGTGATAATTATTCAGGACGCAGTCATTATAAAGCTTTTATTGGTGCCGACGTTTCAACCCAAACATGTAGATCATCATCAGGGCATGTTTCGAGCACTGAAGGTATTCAAGTGATAGCGACTTGAATACCTTCAGTGCTCGAAACACGCCTTGATGATGACCCACATGTTTGGGTTGAAACGTCGACATCAATAAAAACTTTATAATGATTACGTCCTGAATATTTATCACCTATGATACGTAGAACAGTCGACTAACTGCCTTCAATAATTCATTATACATTAATGGTACTCTACAAGACATCAAACTCTTTGGTGGCTTCATTTATAGATGACTTAGCAAATAAAATGGAATTAATAAATGCTTTTGTGGTCAAGATCATAATTAACTCTGAATACAAATTATTACTAAAAACATTATTATTATCATCGACTAGACTGAATATTTAACTAATTTTGTAATAGTCAAGAGAATTAGTAACACTTTATTAATAAAATTTCAGACCAAAAACCTCCTCGATTCCAAAACCAAAATAGAAGATCTGAATCTAACAATGACCCATTTGATCACTTTGCTAATAGAAATGATCAGCAACCAGGTAGACAAAATGACAATTATTTTGGAAGTAAAGCTAGTCCACCTCAATACAATGGCTACAGAAATAATTACAAAATGGATTCTATAGGTAGTTATAATAAAATATTTGTTAATTTTACTTCTTAAAACTTCAAATCGTATACCTATATTTTATTTATTTTTTAGGTTATAACTTAAATAGTGGAGGAGACTATAGAAGTCAGAATTCCAACTATTTCAAACCAGCAGGAATGCCAGATATTCCAGAATTCCCATATAAAGATTCTGCGTTCATTCCGCCTTTGTTGCCACCTTCTTCAAATCAGTTCAGTGAGTGATAGTAAATTAATAAATTTATTATTAATGAAATCCATGTTAACCTAGAAGAGGCTTTTAATAATTTTAAGAAGCTACTTTATTTTTCTGTTTTATATCCTCACTTTTTTTCTTTTTGTTACTGTTACTAAGATAGCCTCATTTAAACACCTCAAATTTCAATATACTTTTAAAGTCTAGTTAAGGATATTATTTTCTAAGATTAGTTGTTTTAAACATGCTTTACCACTTTGTTAGTTCTTTTGGTGAAGGATGTTTCAGCCCTAGTTGTAGGTCATCATTTAGATCTGAATCAGGGCAATGTCTTAATGTAGTAGCTGGGGGAGGAGTATAAATGAAAACATTTGATAGGTATATACTTAAAGAAAGTGGATATTTAGGGGGCGGGGTAGCCGAATGGAGTGTGTGCACAGCACCACGAATTGCCTGGCAACCGGTTAACAGATTTGAGAGATTGTGCCAAAGGGGATTTTAAATTCCCTGCCCTCACTCCCTGACCCGGGAAAATCCCGTAAAGCCTAAAAGGTGAGGTAGGAAAGAATAGAAAAAAAAAGAAGTGGATATTAGTTGGGCTAACGCGTATGCACTGCACTGCTGTTTCCCGGGAACCTGATATATAAGACATTGATAAAAAATAGTCATGATTCGTATCTCGGTGCCAAGGGAGTCTTTTAAATCCCTGCCCTCACCCTCTGGCTCAGGAAAACTCCATATAGCCTTAACGGCGAGGAAGGGGAGAATTCCCCCTCCCCTCCAAAAAAAGTGGATATTAGTTGAAAAATAAAATTTAAAAAAAAATGAAATTTTTTGAAAAATTAATGATATTGGAAAAGGTTTAAGATATATTACTGTTAATTCTGTACCTGCATTATTTGACATCAATTGATTGAATTTGGTTTTTAAATGGATATGGTCAGATTCATTTACATCTGTATTTTTTTCTTTTGTGCTGGGAATGCCTGGGTTGTCGAAACTAAAGGAATGTTTCAATGAAAATATGCATTTAAGTTCAGAAAATTTGGAGGTAGATAGATTGATTCATAAAATAACATTTTAAATATGTTTTAGTGAATTCTTCAAAAAATAATGTTAATCACAACACAACTCAAAAACCAGAAAGTGCAGGAAAGTATAGATGGAAAGTTGGAGATAAGTGTATGGCCAAATATTGGGAAGACAATGTTGTAAGTAAAATTTGTAATTTTTTTTTTTTTTTCATTTTTGTAGTATTATATTAGATACTATCAAATATAAAATTTTACTCCAGTGAAATCATCATGAAGAAGAAGGGGGGTTGAATACCCCCAAATGACGTAATTATGATTTGTTTATATCTTGTATGTGATCGATAGTCTAAATAACAGTAGCAACTCCTAGAAACAGAGTGTTGGTTTTTAGAGATTAAAAAAATAATTAACATGAAGGTTTTCTCAATACAGATAAAATTATCTTGTTTAATAATACAATTAGATAATGATATAACTTAAATAAATATTAACGTTACGTATTACTGGTGGGGAGAACTAGTTCGACAAGTGGGCTACATGGTCCTTTTTGCCAACCCCTGTCAGCTACCTTGTTTGCCACCTACTTGCCAGAGTGAGAGTGTCAAGATTCATTTCCCGGGGCTCCAACAAAAATTAAAAAATTAAATGTTGGAATCGAACCCACACGTTCAGAACCGGGCATTCTGGAGCCCGTGGAACCACAACGTGCTTGGCCATCCCGTCCTCAAACGTTACATATTACTTATATGTATGTCGACGGAAGTCTTCGCATACCATAGCAAATATAATAATAAAGATAAATGTAATGTAGTAAGAAGATTTCATTTTACAAACTATTCTAAAATTTAATAAAATTTGTTATACATTACCAAATACTGCCACTTTATCTCGATCAATATTGGTTCTACAGAGAACCATTAGCTCTTCCTTTGCTGAAAAAATATGCTCACATTTTGTTATAAATTTAGTCCACTTCAAGTAAGTAAATATTCTAGGTCGAAAACTTGGATTTATCATGAGCTATCTGTCGCATACAACTTATTAAAAAATCAGAATTACCTCTTTGGTAACACCACAACCTCACATTGTGTGAATATCATTGTAAGGTTTATAAAAGCTTCTATAAAGTTTTTAACAAATTCTTTCAAGTTTCATAGTTAATTTTTTGGATTAAAGTAATTGACGATTTTTTTTTTTTTTTTTTTTCTTCAGTACTATAATGCTGAAGTTACAGGTATTTCAAAGAAAACCTGTGTAGTGAGGTTTCTAGAATATGGTAATTTTGAAGAAGTTCTTCAAGATGATTGCCTACCGATCACTGAGGTAATAACCTGGAAGTTTGTATTTAAATTATTCATATATTTAAATCTCTTTATTTAATCCTAAGTTAAAACTCTTTGTTTAGGAACCTCTAGAAAATATTAACTTGCAAAATAATGATCATCAAGGTTTTAATAATAGCAACAGGAATAATCACTTCTCAGGTAATACTTAAATTTTACTATTCATTAGGCTTCAGTATCAATAGCTAGCAAACATGCACAATGAAATCATTTTATCATCAAAAACAATATATTAGTATATATATTTTATAAATTATTTTACTCCTGTATAAGCAATATTAAAATCTGCCACTTTCAATGCAGTATAATAACCCCATAGTACCTTTGTACTATGAACTCAAAAATAAACCTTATTGGAAATGACGTCTATTTTATTTCAGACCAGCTTAATCCATCTTTTTAATGTATTTTCCCTTGAGCTGTTTCTGACCCTTTTGTCTGCACAACCCCTATTGTTCATATAGATATCTTAATAGTTCATGAAAATGCTTCTATGTGTGTAATGATTATGTGCCCAAAATTTGTTTTTATATTCTTGTTAGCTATCTCTTTCACATAGATAGTTAAATCACCATATTAATAAATATTTTCCAATTTCTTTGGTGAAAATTGATCTCAAACAAGGTCCACCCTTGGGACCCAATCAAAATTAGTTTTATTTATGACTAATTCCTTTACATGTCTTTAAACGTTGTAAACCTCTGGTCTTAAAATACATATTAAAATTATTGAACGGACATGCTATCTTTTGAAATTGTAAAATTTCTTAAATATTTCCTCATTTGATAGGACTTAATTTAATAAAAAATTAATAGCAGTATGTTCAAAAATAGATTTCACAATCATAAAAAAATTCAAAACAAATATATTTTACTTTAAATATAAAATTTTAAATAACAATTAATTAATGACTATCTTTAATACATATTTTAATTTTTACAATAGTGGATTATGAGATTTAACAAAAACGCTATATATTAAGAGTATTTATTTTATTATACTGATAAATACTCCATGGACAACAAGTGATAAAATAAATTAATATTTTTTTTTTATCTATCAAAGTAAGTTAATAATTTCCTTTGTATAAAACGTTTTTAATTAGATTGTGTGGGATTTAATTTGTTTCATAAAATTATAGAATATTTAGGGAAAAAAGGATTCATTCTGCATCTTCGAAGACATAAAATATTTCTATTTCATTATTTTCAGGGTCGATAGAATTCCGAAGAGGAGGAACAAGGCCTTATATAAAGCCTGAGTCAGCAGCTGGTCGAAAGCAGAGGTACTCGCAACCCGTATACGTACCCCCTGCAAGTAGGCGAGAGGCCAAGTAGCATGTAGTCCATGGGCGACTGGCCCTAGCGTGTAAAACTTGAAATTGAGCATGTAAACATGCTTAGTATATTTACACTTAGATATTCTGGGTCATTTTACGTGGATTAAATTGACTGCTCCTTAGATCTGAGTGATTTTTTTTCTCAAAGAAATATATCTAAAATCACTAATATTCTGATAAATTGTAAGAATTTTGTATTGTTTTTCCTAGGAGAAAAATTTACTTAAATTAATGGTAGTGTTATATTTATTACATAATTATGTTATATTTATTATATAATTAAATATGAATTATATAATATAAAACAGTTCAACAATTTCTTAATAGTATTATTGTATTTCTACTTTAAACAAGTAGCCGTTCATTAGTAGTCAAGTAATGTAAGGAAATTATTGTGATTTTTACTATACATGTTTGGGTGGAATATTTTATGATATTGTCAACAATACATCCTACAAAATATTGTAGAAGGATAATAGTGATTGAGGATTATAAGAAGATTATAATTATTTAAATATTTATCTTTGTTTACTAGGATTGTTTGATTTTTTTTATACAGTTTGAATTTTTATTTAATAAATTTTCAAACTGTTATCAGTCATTATTGGTATTATTATATTAGTGTTATATTTTAGGTATGATATAAAATTAATCGACAACATATATACATATTTAACTTGACAAACCTAGGTTTTGGATCTTTACAGTTTACTTCAGCAAACTATTCTTTCTTTAATCTGACTTTGATAAAAAAAGACCTAAAATTATTTTGGTTGTTTGTATGGAAATATGAATTTATAAGTGATTGTTGAGTAATATTATTTCTTTAATTGGTTTAATTTGATATTATATTAAATATGAATCTTTTATGTTTTGTTATCATTCTTATATTTAATTATTGTTTTGTTTTTGTTGAATTTATTATTTAAAATTTTTTTCCCTTTAATATTTCCGTTTGCATTGTTGATGGTTATGATGTATCATTATTTGCTAAATGTGTATTTCAGCTTTTACAGCTACGATATCATTTGATTACAGTAACTTGCTAATATTTATATCATCAAAAAGAACATTTTAGTGTCCACTACCCATAAAACAATGTAAACTCAAATTAAAAGTTCATTGTTAACACAAAGATATCAACAAAGTTGTAAATATGACAATAACAGGAAATTTTAATTGTGATATGTTTTGAAAATATAGTTTACATATTACAACGGTATTTTTTCTGTAAGAAATATGCTCTTCAGATATTGAAAATTATATAGTTTACAATACAGTTTAAATTTAATATATATAATTCTATTCAAAAAAAAAAGTAATAGTTTTTGCTTCTACAACAGATTTCAAGGCTTGCCCTCTAACATTTGAACAAGTTTTAATTTCAGTGGGAATAAAAAACAGTGCAGGGACAATTAAACAATAAAAGACTTCTTAAAAATTAAAAGTTCTTAAAAAATAGATTTATAAAACATTAATGTATAGTGATTCATTTTAATTTCATATATCTTTTACTCTATAAAAAAAAAATTCAATTCACAAAATTTTCGCAGTATCTATTTGAATATGATAGTTTCATTTCAGTATTCTTGAGCTTAATGTTTATAAATCATGATAAAATTTGCATTTTTTTCCCCTAAAGCAACAATTTTGTTTGAATAATTGTTATATGTCTTATCAAATTAATTCATTAAAAATTAATGAGCAACTTTTATACAAGTCTTTATTATTAAAAGAATTATATAGTGAACAACCGATAATCTTGCAGGATTTTATTGGCCTACAACATGTCTGATTTTGTTCTAAATTGTTCAGGTTGATAAACTTATCTTACATAGCTGGATAATACGCTTAATTATTACAAGAATGGTTTGATGAAAAATTATAGATTATTAATATGAATTATGCATGTAATTTTAGGTCTCTGAAAATAATCTTGATACACTTTTTAATAAATTTGTAATCAGTATGCACTATATAGTTAACAGTAGTAAATAGAAATTAGCTAACTCAGAAGATATAGAATTCATCGTATCAGTTTGGAGACATTATGGAAAGAAGCGCCTTTATTAAGTAAAATCATGTGTTTGAATCCCAGCCTTCACTATTCCTCAACGGATATAACTAATGGAATCTAAAAGTAATAAAGTGCGAAATTGATGGGCAATGAGGTCTTTTCTCAGATCAAAAATCACTCAGATAAACTTCATTCTTCGATGCCTTCTTTCATGTTAATTAGCAGTTCTATGTAAAATGACCCTTAATCGATTAGCAAATTGTTGAAAATGATTTGCTAATCAGGAAAGGATCATCAAGTCGGTGATGCCTATTGTAAATTATTTATTATTTTATAAATCAGCCTCATTATATATTAGGCGCTTTAATTTGTGTTTGCTGATGTAAAAGAAACAGGTCTTTCAGTCCCTAATCTAGGGATGTATAAAGGATCTTACATCTATTAACAATCTTACATCCTTGATTTAAAGTTCCTGATGTAACATAATATTAATTAACAATATCATGACCATTGTATTTATTCCTTAGATCTTATCTAATACATACTCTTTTTTGAAATTTAATAATCGATGATGGAATGATCTCATTTTAGGATTAATTCCTCATAGAACTTGTAGATGATTCTGATCATATAGGGTATTGTCGAGTATGTTAAAAACTGTTTTTTTACTACGTTTAATACAAAGTGATAAGTAAATAATGTGTACATATTTATTGTTACATAAAATGTAAATGTGAGTGTTTATCTCGCATTCATTTCCTCTAAATTATATTATATTTGATGTAGTTGTAACATATTGTAAAATATTTGTATACAAGATGTGCCAGTAATTTTTTTTCTATTTATTGCTTTTGCTTATACTGCGTTTGTATAACATTGTATTAGATTCATAACAATAAAATTGTGATTAAAATGGGATCACAAACTTCTCTTTTTATTTAACCTTCCTAAACATGTTTTAAAATATCTCCAGGGACAAAATGAACAATTTATTAATCCTTTATATTAAGTCTTATTTACTTATATAATCACTGTATGTGAAAAGTACTTCAGCAACAAAAAAAAAAAAAAAATGAAATCACTTATCCAAAGTGAACCTGGGATGTTACAGCAACTATTTTCATTAAATTCATTATATCAATGTAAAATTAAATTTTCTTTAGTATTAAGTAACCATTATTCTCAATGAATGCCGAATTCACAAAATTGTTATAATTGTTAAACAATAATTGTTAAATATAAACTATATATAAATATAGAATTTGATTCTTAACTAGAGAAAAAATTAGGAATCAAGCTCTGGGATAGAGTCTGAAGTGAGGTCTCACTTATCAAGACTATTCTATATCTTATATAAATAAGTGAATTGTAATTGTAATATTTAAATACATAATAATTTAGAAAACATCGTTTTGGAGCCCAACATACCACTGTATAAATACGAAAAACAATGATCAGAGATTATGAAACATATATATTGGGGGCCATCCCAGTAGCGTTTCAGAAAACGAATACAAATAATTATTTTTGGGGACAAACATTCAAAAGAACTAGATAAATACAAAATAACGACATTCGGGACTCCAAGAGGGGTCCCCTAATCATTCTACAGCCATAAAAAAGTACAACACATTTATGTTGGTACTCCGAAAATTTGTCAAAATAAACGGATACAAAACAATTATTTTGTAGGCCAAATATACAAATATACTAGACAAACACAAAATAACGATATTCGGTAGCCCAATATTAAACCCCTAATCATTCTAGAGCCATAAAAAAGAACAAAACATTTATGTTGGGTCCCCAAAAATTTGCGGAAATAAAATAATACAGTACAATTTTTTTTTGAAGTATTAATAAAATTTAAAACAATGATTTTGTAGTACCTCCTCTGAGGGGAGGGAGGGGGGCTCGTCGATCGTCTACTTAAGGACAAATAATGTCAAAAGGAAGACAGCCCAGCTTGGCCAAGAGGTTTGGCTAGTCTTCCAAACTAGTCCGTGGTACAGACGCTTTTCAAACTGGCAAACTTATTCATTAATTCATGGAACGGCCTTTTCGCGTGACCTTCACCCCAACATGTCAAAATAACGAGGTTAGATTGACAAGCGGCCCAATATTTTTTTCAATTTTGTACGATACAAATGAGTATATATTAGAGATCGACCAATATCGAAATTTTGGATGAAACCAATATTAATAAGGCCTATATATCAGCCTAAAGGTTTGCAAAGTTTCATATGAAATGTCCTACTCGAATTTGGTCTCTAATTGTTCGTGTGGTAATGCTAAAAAGTTTTTGTTATTTCATATGTTTTGGTATTAATAAATCGGAGTGAGTGAATCGAATGCGGTGTTTTATAGCGGGTTCTTCTAAATATATTCCCTCATTTATTTTTCTTATTTTATATGATATATCGAAATAGTTCTATTGAACTATCCTTTATTTTTCATGTGAAATTCAAATTTAATAGCTTCGTGCTAATATGTGATGCGAAATCGTCTTCAACTTTATTTTCACTAATTATGATCCTCATATTTCATATTCAGAGTTCAAGTCAAATTCCATGAATAATAACCTTCTCACTTGAGTTATAATGTTGCACCTAATGCGCCATAGAAATGCGCAATTAACATAAAAATCTGGTGCGCGCCACACACAACTTTCACTTACCGCTCAACTTTGAATAGAAATTATTTTCAGGCCATGTTGGGCTATTATAACATTTTTGAAGTGAATCTTTATCTGAGCTAAAACTACAAAATTACAGCTAACAAATCATAAATAACATTAAAATAACAAAAGTCCTATTTATTATATCACCGGTTGATTATGGATTGTACGATTATTAGTTATAAACTGTTTTTTTACATTGCTAAGTTTACTAAAACGGAATTAAGAGATTTACATTGTCTGTCATAGACAGGTCAAATGTCACAATAATTGTAAGTGGATGTTTTTGGAATATCACAAAAGG